AGACTGAGCAAATGGAAACATGTCAGGTCATCAGGCAGAGGCCTGAATTATTCAGATAATTGCCCATTTCAGCTCATCAAAAATGTAGGCTTGTCCTCTTTGCATATTTAAACAAAACATGATGGGATTAGTGCTATAAAGCCTCATGCCTTAACACAAGGCTGCTTTATAACACACAATTAAGAAACAGTACAAATAACATACAGCCAATTGTTCGTATTGAAGAACTGTAACATGGGTTTGTACAATAGCAGTTTATAAACAAAGCAGACTTCTCAAACTTGAGGGCTCATCAAAGTCATCTGGAGATATTAAAACACAGATGACAAAACACAAAGCGCAGGGATTCTGATTTTTCCTCTGGTCCTTAGTTTGCTGCTGCAGGTCCACAGATCGTAGCTGGAGTGTCACTGGACAAGAGTATTGATGGTCAAAGGAAGATTCCTACAGGTGCTTCTTTGCACTCTGGACTGTAGTCCATGTCCTGGCTTTAATATAGGTTTTTAAATATTTCTCTTGTTTTGTTTATTTATACAAATTATAATTTTTCTTCCTGCCAATACTCATTACTATATAATTCTATCACATTAAAATATGAACAATAAACTATGATTAAAATATACTAATGATAATGATGTTTTTCATGTGTAATGCCTTCTATGTTGTTTGCCAGATATTGTAATAAACTCATGATTGCCTCATATAAAAGTCCAAGGATAGGGCTCACATTAGGCAAGGCTTAATCTAGATGCTCAGAGGATGTCACAAGAACCTACTTTTGAAGTTTTGACTTAATCTACAGGCGAGGTCATCACCTAGTGGCACTTGTGATGCAGGAGAAAGAGGAAATAGTGAGTGAGATAGTGAAGAAGGCGAGAGGGGATGATCAGAGACATTCGAAGAGATTTATCTGAAGAAAAGACATTCCAGCCAGAGGGGAATTCCATTCAAAACTAATGAAAGAAGGAGGCTATTTGGACTACTTGAGAAGTAGCAAAGAGTTTACTGTGCTAAAGCAGAGTGAACCACATGGAGAATGGGAAGAGATGAAATCAGAAAAGGAACAATAGTCCAGTTAATGTAGGACCTGGTTAGGCCATTGCCCTGAGTAAGAGGGATAGCCATTGGAGGATTTAGAACAAAGGAATGGCACGACCTGATTTACATTGTAAAAGGATCACAGGTTGCTGTGTTAAAGGAGACCAAGAGGAAATAGGAAAAAGCAGGGAAACTGATCAGCAAATTGCAATGGTGTAATATAGGTTTTAAGCCAGCTATGTGTGCTTCTGTTGGAAGAGAGCCTATGCATGTTTTCCCCTATTTGCCAATGATCTTATATTTCATTTGGGAAATTAAAATATTGATGAGCTCCCCAAGACTTAAAATGTCTCTCAACTATTGGCAGAAGGTTAACAACGCAGATGCTTTTCTGGCTTTAGGTCAGCTGTGTTTACTCCACATCAGGGATCTTTGGAAACTTTATCCAAATTGCTGTTGAAATTGTTTATTTCAGAACTAGGGCGACCAGATCCGCCCTACATCTCTTGAGTGTGAGCAGCTTTGTTTTTGCAGAGGCAGTGGCTAAAATAGAGCAGACATTTCCATCAGCTGTTTGGTCATTGTGCTTTTTAGTGGAATTACAGCATGTTATAGTATTTTTCTTTGCAGCTTAAACTTTGAGCAAACCCAGACATCCAGAGATGCTAAAATGAAAAATCTGTTTCCTTTTGCCTTGCCATTTGCCAAGCAAACTCTGTCAGACAGCACATTCTATACATTTTGAATCAGTGAAATTACCCTTAATGTGCTGGCAACATCTGTCACAAACACTCTGCAGTCTATGGCTTAAATGCATTGGATAGAAATGGATTTGGCGGTATATTTAATGAGGCACAAGTATAGCTGAGGCCACTAGTTTGGCCTTAACAGGCACAGGTTTTTCTTTTCCTTTTATGTTCTTTCCATCCTTTTTTCTCTTCCATGTTTTAATGTCCTATAGAATACAAAGGACATTCTGTGATGAGGGACTTGTCTAGCAAACACCATTTTTTGTTGTAGATAACCAACACTTCAGAGTCTTGAAGTTATCTTTCCCTGTGAAGTGTCATAAAAAAATTGTTTCTCCAAGAGATTGCTGCCTATACTTCCAACTTACTCACTGATTATAAAGTTGTTTCATCCCTTGAGACTGTTAAGGATTTTATGTTCTTTATTATTTAGGAGGGGGTCCTTGTTTCACTGACCATCTTCACTGAATGGGAACAAGAATGTATGTTCTTACCAGTCATCCCCCAAGAATTATTATTATTTTGTTCATCTATTTGCAGTGACTAGTTTGGTTGGGAAAAGAATGTTCGCCTTACATTCTTTTACACCCCGTGCCTCGTGCTGCTACTTACAATTCCAAATGATGACACATCCCTCCCCATTCTTCCCTCTGATTGTCAGGTGTTCGGTTTGTACACAGAAGCAGCACTCATTCTGTGGCATCTGTAATCAAATGAGTCCCCAAACACCTTCTGAGAAAGGATTCTTTAAAGAAACCAGACAGTCCTTCCTAAATTAATTCCGAATGCAGGCATTCAATCCTTCTACCCTTATCATGCATGGGTTTGATTCATCTGTCACATACTCACATATCTCATTTGCATATTGCCTTCCAAACAAAGACTCAAGTCTACCTCTCCGAACACTGGGGAATGAGGTCACCCCCGAGGGCTTTGTGAAGAAAGTATTCTTACCAAACACAATTTGGTCTTTATCTCTGATTTATGACAAACAATCTTTATGTGGCTAGAGCAGACTGATTAAATTGAGAAGTTTCCAGGACTGTGACAGTTTAGCTCTATGTTAGAATCTCGAGGGGCAAATATTCTAAAAAGATAGGCTAAGTCTCAAGTTCAAGAAAAGTATTGAAGTTTTGCACCTGCTAAGGATTAAAATGTTGTGAATGTACCACTTTGGGGTGGAAAAATGCTTTAGGACTTGTCTTAACTTGGAGATTATTCTATATAGTTTTTCTCTAAGTGATTTAAGAACTAACTGCAGCTCTTCTTAAAGTGTTTACTTCTGGTCTGGCACAGCAAATACCTGAAATGAAGCCCAGTAAGTGCTTTTTTGAAAATATAAAATAAAGATGCTTTTGCTAAAGAAATGCAGACAGCAGGAAGAAAAAGTGATGTGTCTCTGAGTTATATGTAAAAGTTTTTATCATGTTTCTCATTCAAGATGCATCCTGCTGAACAACAATTCACCGAAGCACCATAAATTTCAAACAACACAAATCCACAACTGTGTGTATTTACAAGCTAAAGACCTATAAAATAACACATATATTTTCCGATTGATTCTAGTTCAAAAGTCCTAATGCCTTTTGGAACAAAGCTGAATCTGTATATTAAGCATTTCCAAATATCTGGCTCAATTGCTGTTCTCCCCCCATATTCATGGGAGGAGCCCATAAAAAAAGGCTGAGTGATTGCCTGGTCTTTTAACAGATACAGTTGGGAAGTTGAATTTGGAAAGTAACATGAGGAATTAATCACCCTGAGCAAAAGCATTTTAGGAAACATTTGCTTGTGGGTAATTAGTTTGGGGTCTGAGAGCCTGTCGTCTACTTGCATCTCTCCTTGTTTTATTTCTTCAGAATGTTTACTTACATGTATGGGGGGGGTCACATAGTGAAAAAACAATGTTTACAGAAAAAATAACATACAGACACATAATAATGTTATTGCCACAGAGCATTTAAATGAGTTGTTACAGCATGAACTTCTGCTTTTATCATCATCTTGAAAACACTGGAATTATGTCAAAGATTCCCTCCAACCCTAGATTTTTAATTTTTTAAAGGATTGTACTAATTTTGTCTCTCACCAGGAATCTTTTTTTAAAGATTTTATTTATTTATTTTTAGAGAGGGAAGGGAGGGAGAGAGAGAGAAAGAGAGAGAAACATCAGTGTGCGGTTGCTGGGGACCGTGGCCTGCAACCCAGACATGTGCCCTGACTGGGAATTGAACCTGTGATGATTTGGTTCGCAGCCTGAGCTCAATCCACTGAGCTACGCCAGCCAGGGTGATTTTTAATTTTTAAAAAATATTGTTTTATTGCCTAGGTTAGTCAAGGCAGACTGGTAGGCGGAGGAAAAAGGAGGGGAGGGTGCATAGCCTGACTCTGCTTCAGTAGCCTTGTGACACTTTATATACGGACAGACGTTGTTTTAAATGTCTGGGGTTGTTTTGCATTCCAACAGTTAAAATAAGTCAAAAAGCATGTTCTAGAAGCAGGCTTTTCATAACACCTGATGAAATACTGGACATTTTTACATTTAAAAAAATTTTAGGAATGTTGTATTTGACCAGCTTTGAACAATTTAGTATTATTCTTCGGTCTTGTGTCAGAAGCATAGAGAGAATGAAAGTAGGTCAAAATATTTACATTTAAAATCATGGGAAATAGTCACTTTAACTTTTATAGCATTTATATTAGATTTTAATATGTCCTTCAAAGAGATCCAGTCAAGGAACCCATCTGGTCCAGCCTTATCATCCCAGTGGTAGATTGTATTGAGGTGTTCAAAATTACATTTATCCATGTAAATCCTGGATAAATGGCATAAACCAAAAGTTTTATTCAATATCCATAAAAACTGAAGAATTTCCATAATATTTATATTTTTATGCAGAGAAATTTGTATTCAGAACAATGAGAAAGGGAATGCATACAGTATGTTGGAATACATCCTACCTTAAGGATTGGAATTGTAAATAGCAGGCATGTTTGACACATCAGAGATCAGAGGAGAGGGGGTCATTAATGCTATATATTTAGATGAACAGAAGATGATATGGATGGATGTAAAAATTATACATGGTTGCATTTAGCCTTTTCAGTAAAATATAAACAGATTGGATGTTAACACAGTTTACTATTTAATTGTTTTAAAATTTTTCTCCCTTGTGGAGCGTATTTTCAGATGAGCATTGTATGTGCTTCCAGGGTGCTGTGATCACGCCGACGATGGACCATCCCATGTCCATGCAGCCAGCAAACATGATGGGCCCCCTGACACAACAGATGAACCACCTTTCGTTGGGCACAACAGGAACGGTGAGCTGAAGAGTTTGTTTGGTCTAATTTTCTTAGACTGCTTCAGTAAGATGAAACACTCTCTCTTCACTGGCATTATCAGCAGAACTGGTTCTGTACCTTCAACTAACACACCTTTCAGGTTCCAGTAGGAACAAGCTGCTTTCTGCATGCCCATTCGATCCCGGGATGCGTTTTCTCCCATTGACAACCCTGAAGGTTGTGCTGCTGTGTGGCATTTAAATGGGAGCTACTTCTTGTTCTCAAGCCACAATGCACCAGGTATAATGTCTGTTTTTGGAAAAGTGTTTTTATGCATGCACCTGCAAATCTAGACCTTGTAACTTAATACACTTGAGCCTAATATTCTTTTCCCAGATGCTTACCACTTCAGCTAATATATCATCCCCAGGTTACTCACAGGTGAGCGGCCGGCCTGGGCTATGACTAATACGCAGGGCTTTTTATTTATTTTCAATGTTTAAGTCAGTAAAAAGTCATTGAGAGCCTGGCATAATCGAGATCTTTTCATCTTGCCTTTGAATGTATTGACGTCGATGATGTCGAAAAATAGGAAAGGAATCTAATGTACTTGATGCTTTTTTAAAAATAAGTTGGCATATTTTTGACTAGCCATTATTTTCCCTTGGAGAACAAAAGTATGCTGAAAAATGCCTACCCCAGCCTTGATTTTATATCAACGAGGCATTTGAAATCATTAGTGAAACCTTTTGTTTGTTTGTTTGTTTTTAAATCTGTTGAAAGACAATTCCCCAAATAATCAAGAAGGCACATGTTTACTACAACCTGCACCTTTGTTATTACCCTTACAGAGAACAATGAGCAACATCCGAGTCAACCTCTCAGGTGAAACCACTGTTAACAGTTTTTATTTTTGTAACTGGTAAGGCAGGCGTTTTGTCATTTTTAAAGAGGTAGAAAGAAGAAGATATGTTCTTTTTATCGAGGCAGCCTAAGTGTTATAGAAAGAACAGTGGACTTGTAGTCAGGAACCTAGACTCAAATCTTGACTGAGCCCTGCTGTTTCCATCTGTCCTGGGGAAAATGTCTTCCAGCCTCAATTTCCCTCTCTGTCTAGTCGAAGTATTGAACATGATGGATGGGGCCCCTTTGACTACATGTTTATATGTCTTTAAGCCTATATGTCTCATAGTCATCCCTCCTGTGCTGGCATCATCTCCAAATATCTTCATATACTATGTACACTAGCTACATATTGTACATTTTACCTTAAAGCAATGGCTGGCTTGCCACGTAGGCTTTTTTAGAATATAAGAAGTTTCTGACATGTCCACTGAGACCTCAGTAATCTGCTCTAAATCAGAAGAAAGTCCATATACCTAACGGAAAGGGCCACTTTGTTTCAACAGAGAAATTTAGTTATATTGGCATAAACAAAGGACCAACCTCTAAGGCCTCCATTGCTAAATCTATAAAAAGCAGTTGACGATCCCGTCCCTGTCTGAAGGCTTAAGCTGGGTCAAAGGAGTCCTTAGGTCTCTGACATAGACATTTAAAAGTCATGTCTAAGAAGACATTTAACTCTCCACTGTGGCAGAGCTAATTGTCATCAGGGAGATAGAACTTGAAGATAATATTTCCAGAGCTTTTAGCAATGTATAAGGATTGTTTGTAGTCACTTTGCTCATGTATGAGCAAAACAGACCCCGTGAACAGTGTAGGGAGACCTGAAGTTTCTCATGTGCCCGCTATTGATTTCCCTTCATATTGGCCTTAATCTCCTTAAAGGATCATAAATTCTCAATAAGTGAAGTATTGCAAGCTTATTATATTGAATAACAATCTGGAATCTGATAAAAGAGGGAGTTATAATGCAAAGCCTAGCAAGAAACACTTTATAAATCCTATTCATTTGAATCAAAAGCAAAGCCAGCTGACTTGCTGAAGTTTGAATTTGCAAACTGGAAAAAATGTAAGAGCTAAGTTTAACTCAGATTATGGCTGCATCCTTTAGGGAATTGAAAAATAAACTAAAATATACAGAACAGATTTAGAATTATAATAGTTATTGGTTCAACAAGATATATTGCAATTAACATTTGAGCATTTTCAACAAGGACACATTTATACAAGACCACAATTTTTACCCAGCTGGCAATAGCCAAAGTATTTAAAAATGATGTGCACTCTCTACTGTTCTTAGCAAAAGTTTTAAGTAATGCCTTATTTTTAATACCAAATTTCCTGTAGCATATTTTTCCATCTTTCCTCCCTTCACATTTGTACTAAAAAATGCTTATGTATATTATAAGCTTTGTATAAATCAATGTTTTGCAAAGGAATAAAATTTCATGAGGCTCTGGAAAGGAAGAGAGAAAGCAGCATTATCTTGTTGATTTATTCAACAAAATAGCACTATGCTTAGTGTCCAGAATACTGTTATATATATTTCTTGATCTGTCACTCTTATACTTTAATGTGCCACCCTAGATCCATTTTATGTGAATTTTTGATCCATATTTGGAGTGGCTATCAAATGTTTCCTCCTATTGCATCATTTCAACACACTTTATCACTGCTGGGAAGGTGGTCTGTTGTCATGGAAAGAACAGTGGAAGCTGGAATCAAACTTGAGCGAGTTCAAGTCTGGCTCGGCTCCTTATTAGCTATGCATGTTTAGGCAGGTTATTTAACCTCTCTGAACTTGTATTTCCTTTCCACAAGGTAGGGAAAATAATATTTACATTCCAGGAAAGTTGCCAGTGTTAAATGGAATGATATATGTGACATACTTAATACAATGTGAAACCGAATAGATGCTTGTCGCACAAGCGGTCCTTACCCGCCTATCTTCAGTGGCTCCGAACCGGTGGGAATCTAACCCAAGTCGCCAGAAGGAATGTAGGAAATTATCAAGTCCACAGCGCACAACTCGCTGGCCTGCTCTATTTCATTTGGCATAACTTATTTCTTTCACATTTCCACTTCCTTAGCGTCTAACACACTCTTCCAGGGTTGTAAATCCAGAAAGTTCCTGGAGGCCAGCCAAGTCACATTAATGAATAAAAGTTGGCTGAGTTTATGCAACAAACCCTAGAAATATATAATCAAATCTGGTCTGTCATGTACTATAGATATAAGTAATATTGAAGATTATATTTAAATTACATATATTTTTAATGCAATACTAACAACATCTCTAAGTGTTGAATGAACTAGGAAGTGGAGCCCTGGGCACCCTGGAACACGATGCCACATCTAAGGAAGGCGGCCACTATGCAACTCCAGCCCGCTATTGCTACATAGGCATACAGACCTGGGGCGGCCTCATCTTCCAATTGTTTACGATAAACCAAATATTTGGATCTTAATGGAAAATTTTCCTGTATTTGAATGTGGAACCCAATTTGTCCCCAAAGCTCTCAGATTGTGAGTCCTGACCAAGGATTTCCTAGGTCTCCTGAGACCCCTCTGGCCATTGCTTCTTGTCTTTCACAGGCTGCTAAGACAGGCTTTCATGTCTTCACTTCTCATTAATATGTGATTTCCTTAGCAATGTCATCTACTTTCATGATTTTGAACTCTGCTTGCTATGCCAAACACTCCTAAATCTGAGTCCTCAACACTAACTTCATCTTAAAATTGTAGACCCATTTTTCTAACTACTTGCTAACTATCTCATGTAAATCTCCTTCTGATATCTCAAGGTCAGCATGACCCAAACTACTCACATTAGCTTCCCCAAGCTTCCTCCCCACTGCTTCCTCCCCTTCCTCTTATATATATGTTCCTGCTTTTTATTTCCTCTCAAGCCATATCCATTACCATTTGCCCTGTTAGTCAAATGCTACACCTAGCACTCAGTCTAGGTTCTTTCCTTCTTCCTCACCACCATATGCAATTACTTTTCAATTCCCACCAATCCTGTCTCATAGACATTTGTCAAATACATCCCTTCCTCCACATTTCTAGACTCTGTGCCCTGGACCTCATTTGATTAATTATAATAGTCTCCTAACTATTCTTCCTGCTTCCTGTCTCAATTGGTTCCAATCCATTCTCCATCTTGTTGTCACAGCCAGTCAATCTAAAGTTATCTGAGCATGTCTCTCTCTTACCAGTAACTTTTCAGAAGCTTTCAGACATCTAAGCTCACTGAAATTGTACAAAACAAGGTGTGAGCAGTGACAACTCAAGCTTAAGACAGTGGCCTCAACTCCAGAAATAGGTTCTAGGGGCAGACGTAGAGAGAAATCCAGTGAACATTCTAAAGGCAGTAATTGTCGGCGCTAATGGGGAGTTGGCACTAGATTGGAATTTTCCAGTGTCAGAAGGAGGGCCTTAGGCCATGGGCCAGGTCCCACTTTCCTTTCTAAGATCCCTGGGGAAAGGAGTATATGCAGACAAGTCTCTTTTTCGTCTTCATAAAATCAGATATATATGGTCCCTTTCAACCCCCAGTTTTGAAATGGATACCATGTGATTTAATTAACCTTTCTCTACCACTTGCCACCTCAAGTATTTATTGTTTAACTCTCTACCTATTTTTAAGCTAGGCAGAATCTTCAGGCCTTAAGAGAAATGAATTTTATGCAAGCAGTGTAACCGTTTTATTCCAAGGCTCTGCTGACCTTGAAGAATTTTCTAGCTTTTCCACTTTTTTTGTTTATTTTTTGTCACAGGAGTCCCTGGATAGAACCAAAGCCCTGATAACCATAATGTCTTACTACTTTCTTGTAAGCTTTAGCAGAAGCCACTGGGGATTCTACCGTGTTACGAGAACCTCCAGATTGCATGACAATCTTGCTTTACAAGTTTCTTATCTCCTTTTCTTTTGTTTGGTTGGTGGTCACCAGTGGCTTACAATGTCACCGCAATCTGTGGAAAGAAAGAAAAAGTTTTTGTTCTGCAGGCTCCTTATCTGCAGCTCTGTTTGTGTTCTCCAAACCACTGGTGATTTGTGACCTCACTGGGTTCCCATGGTGTAACCATAGCCACTGGCCAAGATAACCTTACAATTGTACTCCATTTGTTCCCCATAGTTCTCTGATTTTTTTTTCAGTCACACACCATTCCTTCTTTATTACTCAAAAATTCTGACAGTATCGGGTGAAAATCCTGAATTACTCATTTTCCTTAGAGATTGTCTTCTCACACTTATTAGGTATGAATACAAGTATTAGAAATAAAAGTAATGAAGTGCATTGCACAATCCTAAATGGACTCATGACTAGGAAATAATATTGTAAATTCATAAATGGTAATGAGAGTATCTTTTTAAATGGTCTTCAAGGAAAAAGTGTCAGTTAATTAAAAAATGGTCAAGTACAAGACCAAAAATATGGATAAAAGGGAACAGTTTTCACATTTTGTTAACTCTTATTGTAAGATAAATAAACTTTGAAGGTAGTCTTTAAACAGTAAACAAATAGGCATTAAGTGAAAGTGTAGTATTATGAAAGTTTAAGTGCAAATATTACGGTTTTGCCATTTAAAAATGGATTCTGATTTCAAAAAACTAGAACAAAAATGCAAAAGCTCGACAGATAAAAGAACATAAATAGATGGTTGAGAAAGGAGGAAATAGAATGCCAAGAAAAATGAAAAATACAATGCAGATAGTCATTTAGTCAAATACACACAGAGACATACACACGACCCATTAAAGTTATAAAAACAATACACATCACTGATGAAAGTACAAAAAATAAACATTCTCAATATGTGATGATAAGAATCTAAACTTGTAAAAGTCTCAGTTGGACAGCATGGTGGATAGTCAAGTTGCTTCAAAGCAGCTCTGCTGAGTGACCAATAAGTTTTAGTGTTAGAAGCTATTCTATGAAAAGATTCTAAAATAGCAGAAAAGCCTTTATACCTTAAAACTATTCAAGATACTGTTTTTATAATGTCTAATAAAGAGGAATGATTAAGTAAACCATATGCCATCCATGCATTAAAATGTAACACTGCATGAGGCTATAAGAATTTAAAATGAATAGGAGAGGATTATGTATAATTTTTAGTCAAAAGAGCAGGGTGTAAATTTGCATGTGTGGAGTATAGTAACAAATAAGAAAAAATATATACGAAGTAAGGCTGTAAGAAATACAACAAATGTGGTTTATTTCTGGATTATGGGATTAGGAATGATTTATATTTTAATTATTATATTTTTCTACATTCTCCAAGTATACAACAATAAGTATGATTTACTTTATTATTTATTTTTAAAGATTATGAAATATATTTGGAAAAATGACTAGTGGCATGGTCTTAAAATTAACTTTTTGTTTGTACTAATAATGTATGATTGCAGTTATTTAAAAAGCACTAGGAATTGCTATCACTATTAATAAATATTTGTAGACCCTTTAAAAATGATTCTACTTATTTTAGCTTTGGGTATTATAATCAACTCACTAGTTCACATACCTGTTGTGAGAAACAAAATAACTCATGTCTAAGGTTTATTTGCTTTTGAATCTTTGATCAATGTTTGCTTTTGCTGGTCAAAGTACCTTGTAATGCTGATGTTTTTATCTGTCTTCTCACAAGAAAGTGATTAACATTGTCCTCTTGTGGCAAGGAGATTAAATGGAGAAATTTCTGGTAGTCCAAATGAAGTTTTCAAGTCAATAGAAAAATGAAGTCTGAGGTCTTCGGGTTTTTTTTTTAAGAAATCATGATTATATAAATGAAATAAGTGTCACACAGAGCATACATTTAATCATGTTTTGGCAGTTTATTTGAATGTAAGCAATATTTGGTCCTTTTATACAATTTACACCTCCAAGGGTGTAATTTACACATCCAAGGGGGATTGGGGCTGGATTAGAACTTTACATTTCTAAAAGTGGGGGCTTTGGTCCGTAGGCCAAACCCAAATTCCTGTTTTTAGACCTCTGGCTAAAGAAATTGTATTAAGCCAAAGTTCTCTTTCATTTTCAAACAAAGGCAGATGTATTTGGTCCCATATAATGCCAAATTTTTTAATGGATGCCATGTACTTTAATTAGTTGTTCCCTACTATTTGCCACCTCCAGTATTTTGACACTTTGGGAGAAGAAGACAGCATTGATCTGTTGAATAGATTCTGTTCTGTCTCCGCTCTCACTGTTCCAGCACACAAAGCTCCGTGGCCTTGACCGACAGCCACTGGGATCAGAGTGGAGCTGAGTGATCAAATGCATCAGCCCCCATACAGTATGGAAATGTGCAGTTTTTTTTTATTTATCTCTTTTAAATTTTCCATTCTTTATTTTTATCTCCAGGACTTTGTTTCATATTCTCGGCTCTTTCCCGATGTTGGCCTGCCTTGTAGAACTTTTGGGTCAGCCAGAGAGGGTTCAAATTGTTAACCTCAGAGAGGTTTCACGTTGTTAACCTGTGAAAGTGACCAAAATAATGAGAGACTACAGAAGATGACAGTGTTCTGGGACAGGCTCTCCTGTCCTAGCGAGTCACACGGGGCCTAACACTGTATTCAGTGTGGTGGTTGTGGGGACCATTGTATCAACTGTAAACTAGGTAGGGGTCACAGTGCCTCACAAGCTTGAAGGTAGGGGGCTTAGGCCACCACGTGACATACAGTGGGCACTTCCAAGTTGTAGAGCTAAGATTCTATTTTATTTTCTTTTGTACTTCATTGCATTCTTTCTCATGCTCTTCTCATTCAAAGATTCAGTCCCAAGACAGGATTATGATACTCCACCAGCTGTTGTGTCAGGTAGGAAAATTCTAATTCCTTTCAGACTTGATTGGTGGGGAGAGATGGAGGTTGCCTGTTTTTTTTTTTTCCAAAACTCTTTAAAGCAGTGATTCTCAACAGGGCCGGGTGCAAGGAATTTAAATTTTAGTTCTGGGGCAGGGAGTAGGGGCATGTGAGGAGGTGGGCAGAGCATTGTTCAAAAAAGTGCATTTAATATTCCAGTCCAACTTTGTATATGGAAAATAACTATGCTGTTTTGTAATAAAAAGTAAAAGCTCAAAGACATTTGGTTTGTTAAGGATACGCAGAACGTAGAGTCTATGTTGTGTGTATCGGTGGTTCTCAAGGTTAGAAGGGTTCATTGCAACTTCTGAGAAATGGAAAATTTCTTGATAAGAGATTTATGGAAGAAATGGATATTTATGTTTATAAAGGAGGGCACAGATTAATTCAAAAAATAGTTTGAGAAGCACTGCTTTAGAGACTAGAATTCTTCTGAAATCAGAAATCATCCCATTTTGCTTGCTCAGCACACAGCCTAGTGTCTCACCCATAGTAGGTGCTCAACGCAATTGTTTGTTGAATGAATCAAAACTTCAGATTTGTTCCAAAAATGGTATTTGGGATATTGAAAGAGAAGCTTCCAATGTTCCACTTGTACAGCAAAGTGGCAGGGATTGATTTCAGCATATGTTAGTATATTGAGGATTTTACTTAGCAATATTTAAGTTGTTTCATAAAATTTGGTGGTGCAGTTTATAATAGAGTATATGTATGTGAAAAGGTGGGTTTTTATTTTGGACTTCAGGGATCTTGCGCTTTCTTAACTTTGAATTTTGGTTTCCTGCGAAGAGAAAAATGGGCACAGTTTTTCATTTTTGTTGATTTTTTTAAAACTAAATAAAATACTGGCAGCCTGAAGAGCTTTGAACTCTTTGATCCTTTCATGTGTTAGATGATGAGGACATTAAACCCCAACCAAGAAAGGCAGTGGAGAGACAGAGCAACAGATGAAAGCCAGAAAGAGAATGAAAGAGCCCATCAGTCAGGAGAGTCGGGCCACTGTTTTGAAGCAGGGAACACCATGTTCTTGGCCACATGGTTTGCTTGACCCAGCATCCAAAGGGTAATTCTTTCCTCATGTCCTGTGAACTTGCTTAATTGTGCTCGCGGCTGAATACGCATCTTACAAGTTCAACTGTGAAACAGTGAGTCAGCTTTCAGTTGTGAAGTCACTTTGCTTCTCTTGGAGAGCTCTATAAATTGTCGATGAAAACAGCACTTACCTTTCCCCAAAGTGTATTACCTATCACCTTTTAATGTGCCTATTTCATTTAGCATACTTTGCTTAATGTAATACAGCCTTTACGTGCTTTAATATATGGCATCTTCGTTTAACCAGAGGCATCTACTCTTGAAAGTGCATCAATATTAATAATAGGAAAATACGTACACTGCAACTTTACTAGGTTTCCTGATTTCACTTTTAAGAACACAATAAAAAAAAGGCAATGAAAACATCAAAAGCACTTACTAGTATCATATCATTGAGGCAGAACATCTGGCTTGGAGTTCCCACCTATGCCACAGACAGCTGCCACTGGAAGTTCCTGAGCAGAGAAATAATTCAATCAAACTCGCGCTGTAAGAAACGTAATCTGGCAGTTTCATGTGTGCTTAAGGAGTAAGAAGGAGCAATCATATAGAGCAGTTAGAAAGCCCAGATATGATGTCATTAAGAATTTTTAAAAAGTGCTAAGATACCATCAGCGGAATACAAATGAAGGAGCCAATATGAAAGTGACAGGGAAAAGAACAATTTGGGGAACTTTAGAGTTGTTTTCCCCAGAGAAGACTGAATGGGTGGTTTGACATCTTATAAATTTGCACAGAGTTCTTTGGCTGATTTAGCTACCTCTAAATGAAAGTAGACTTGCCTTTTAAAAATATTTGTAAGTTGTCTGGTGTGAACAACATGAGTGATTTTTGAAAAATTGAAATGTCCCTTGCCCAACCGTTGGTCAAATCAGGAAAGTAAAGCAGGCAAAGGTGTTTTAATATTCCCTTCCTAGGTGCCCTAACATGCCAATATTGGACAGCTCTAATACTAGTCAATAGTTTGTCAGTGTCAGAACAAACTGAAGCATCATACTGTATTGGAGTTGAAGTATCTGCTTCATAATCTACAGAGACATAACCCTAATTTCATTCAATCAATGTATCCAATGTCTGTTGAACACCTTCTGAGTGTTAGGCACTACACTCAAGTACCAGTCATACATGGATGAATACAAAATAGACCACTGATTTAAAAACATGGTCTAATTCAATGTTACGATTGTTGTTTGTTTGTTTTTTATGATGTTTAAATGTGTGAAGTAGGGTAGAACTAAAATCTAGAATCTAAAAAGGAGATCAGAAACCTACAAAAATAAAGCAAATGCTGAGCTGGATTTGGAAGAACAGGTAGGAGTTGACCAGCTGAACGAGAGTAAGAAAGGTACAGGAGGCAAACGGAGCAGGGTATGTTACACTCACAGAGACAGGAAAGTGTGGGCAATTAGATGACAGCAAGTCATTTGTTATTCTTAGGGCAAAATGTCACAATGGCCGACACTAAGGCTGGGTCAGGGTAGATCTGATTGTAGAACTCTTTTCTTCCCTGAATCATATGTCACCTTTTAAAAATTTATTCAAATAACATTTATTGGGAGCAGCCATTACTGTGTTGGTTGCCAGGGATGCAACTTTCCTCTAAGAACCTAGGATTCAATTAGGAAGTTAGATACAAAAGGTGATTCCAACACGGTGTTTTAAGAGCTTCCACTTCTGATGTTTAGGTTTGTAAACTCTCCAATAACATGCCTGAGTTCAGAATCTGCTTGTGTAACTTACTAGTTGTAGAAACTTTGGAAAGTCACTTAACATCTCTGTAGCTTAAATTACTTATTTGAGTAATTAATAATAATTACCCAATATGATCATTGTGAGAATTAGGCAAGATATATAGCTTGTTTAAAACAGATCCTAACATAAAATAAGTGCTCAAATGTTATTAGTAACAATTACACTAATCACGCTTGTTACAAGATACTATGGTGGCACAAAGAAAAAACAACTAGTACACAGTAAAGGTCAGAAAAAGTGGAAGAAACATTTCCGTGGAGAAATAAGGACACATGGGAATTAATAAGTAAAAACTAAATTGAAAGAGAGAAGTTTCAGACCAAGGAGGCAGCACATACACAGACTCTTGGGTAGCAGCAGGGTATGGCAAATTCAAGGAACTATAGATGGTTCAACAGGACAGGGATGCATAAAGAGAGATGGGGACAAGAGAACGTGAGTATGGAGAAGTTAGCTGAAGCAGTATCAACAGAAATGGTAACTTGAACTCTATGCAAGTGGCAATAGACGCACACTAAAAGTTTTTCAGTTGGAAGGTCATATGATCACTCTACAGAGTGGGAAAATGCAATGGAGAGAGACAGAACTAGAAGAGGCAGACCAGAACTCAAGAATCTAAGCATGAAATCAAGTCATCTTGTGCTCAAGTTGTGGAAATGAGAATGGAAAGTTGACAAATGTGTGCCATATTAAAGAAGTAGAATATATGATGTAGTAAATAAATGGATGCCAGGAAACAAGAGAGAGAAGAGTTAAAGGTAGCTTTGAAGTTCCTGTCAATTCAATGGCCTGAGATGTCATTTCCAAGCATATAAACAAGAGGAAAGAAAATCAAGTTTGGCAGGAAAAAGGCCAAGTTCAGTGTTGTACATGTTGACTTTGAAGTGTTTATGGGGCATCCAAATAGAGCAAATCAATAAATATTTTGATATATATATTGAAACTCAGAAGATAGCTCATAGCCATGGGTGGATTTTGGAGTTATTGTCTTGGAATTGTCACGTCATCCAGAGAATGTCCATAGAATAAAGACAAGTAGAAAGATCTTTGAAAATAAAACTGGCCAAAGGAAAATTAAAAAAAAACCCACAAGGAGCCTGAAATAAAGATTGTAAGAGACAACGATAGACATAGAAGGAAAAGAGTTTGAAAATTTCATGATGTAATTCATAAAGGGGGTGATTCATAGAACAAGGTCCCCGAGGAAGCTAGACACTTCCAGGAATGTGGGAGGACAGGAGGAAGGGATGAACTATGAGCATGCACATTTGTAAATGTAGCAATAGGAAGCCAAAGGGTTTCCTGCATGATGAATACTATTTGTTTTTATGTGGCATATTAAGTGACATCTGCTGAGAGCGAATGGGAGATGACAGGTGGAAAACCAGCTTTGGAAAACTAGGGAGTAAGAAAGAGAACCAGCAATACACAGGAAGTGTGAAGGTCAGAACTGGGGGGTCCATTTGAAGCTACAGACTATGGATTTTTGTGAGACCAATATGTACAGATGTTTGATTTTCCGCAGTAGTGATCAGTAGCCGGAAAGTAACACAGGTGGATTAATCCAAGCCTAAGGTTTTACTGCAGGAAGTGAGGAAGGGCAGTGTTTGATGATAGTATTGGCAAGGAGTGACTGAGTGACGAACTATAGTTTCCAGGATCAACAGAAAGAGACAAGAGGGGGCAGTAGGAGGCGAGAAACGGGAAGAAAGAGGGAAGACAGGGACTAGAGATGCCAATGAAATGTATGAAGTGTTCTGAAGTAGAACGATGGGACGTAAGATTTTTGGATAATAAACCATTTCTTGGCAAAGTCAAGATCATGGGATCAGGTGGCCAAAGTGGACCTGAGATGCAGGTGACAAAAGTTAAGGAAATCAAGCAACATGAATATAAGCTGCCGTTTAACTGAGGTTTTTTTTATGTCTGGAATTGTTTTATTTTATTTGGTTTTTGACTTAATAAGATGAGGGCTGATCATCAGGAAGAACGTCCCTAATATATGGGATCACGAATAGAATATACTTCTGAAACATGTTACAAAAACAATAAAGAATTTTTAAGAATAAAGTTATTTCCAAAACACTTGGAATATAGATTTAATTAAAGGC